GAGAGAGAGAGAGAGAGAGAGAGAGAGAGAGAGGGGAGAGAACAAGCGAGCGAGCAAAAGAGAGAGAGAGAGAGCCAGCCAACCAGCTGTGTGGACAGTGGACAGAGAGACAGAGAGAGTCAGAGAGAGAGATACGGAGAGAGACAGAGAGAGAGAGACAGAGACAGAGAGACAGAGACAGAGGGGGACACAGAGAGAGAGAGAGGTTCGTCTTCGCTCCCCGTCAGTCAGTCAGTCAGTCAGTGTGTGACAGTGTGTGGTGAGAGGAAAGTGTTGGTGGAGGGATACCACAGACATAGGACTGAGTGGTGAGTGGTTGTTGTTGTTGCTGTTGTTGTTGTTGTTGGTGGTGGTGTTGTTGCTGTTGTCGTTCCCAGTCAGTCAGTGTGTGACAGTTTGTGGTGAGAAGTGTTGGAGGGATACCACGGACATAGGACTGAGTGGTGAGTGGTTGTTGTTGTTGTTGGTGGTGGTTGTGGTGGTGAGTGGTTGTTGTTGTTGTTGCTGCTGCTGCTGTTGCTGTTGTTGTTGTCGTTCCCCGTCGGTCAGTCAGTCAGTCAGTCAGTGTGTGACAGTGTGTGGTGAGAAGTGTTGGAGGGATACCACGGACATAGGACTGAGTGGTGAGTGGTTGTTGTTGTTGTTGTTGTTGTTGTTGTTGTGGTTGTTGTTGTTGTTGTTGCTGTTGGTGGTGGTGGCCTGTGGAGGGTGTTGTTGTTGTTGCTGCTGCTGTTGTTGTTGTTGTCGTCGTCGTTCCCCATCAGTCAGTGTGTGGTGAGAAGTGTTGGAGGGATACTGGTGAGTGGTTGTTGTTGCTGTTGTTGTTGGTGTTGGTGGCGAGTGGAGGGTGTTGCTGTTGTTGCTGCTGCTGTTGTTGTTGTCGTTCCCCGTCAATCAGTCAGTCACTGTGTGACAGTGTGTGGTGAGACGACAGTGTTGGAGGGATACCACGGACATAGGACTGAGCGGTGAGTGGTTGTTGTTGTTGTTGTTGTTGGTGGTGGTGGTGTTGTTGGTAGTGTTGTTGTTGGTGATGGTGGTAGTGGTGGTGGTGATGAAAAGTGTTGGGGGATGAGACGGGCAAAGTGGGTGCTTGCTGAGGGCTGAGTTGTGAGTGGTTGTTTTTGTTGTTGTTGTTGTTTTTTTATATAATGCACGAGATGATGATGATGATGATGAAAAGGTGACAAAATGACCAACTTTGTAGAAGGCCCCCACTTTAAAAGAAAACTTTCTCTCAGCATCACCTGGGAAACTGAAACCAAAAACGTAACTGACCTCATATCATGTAAAGTCTGTCCAGCCCAAAATGTAGGTCAAACTACCACCACACTTAGAGCTAGGTTTAATAACTAACCATAGGTATTCAGTACAAAAAAACTCCTGCACACTAGTCGGCCAACATTTCAATATTCCTGGTCACAATGGAGCCTCCGATTTGCAGCTTCAGGGTATTGAAATACGGTAGTACGAAATCCTATCCTACCAAAGAAAAACTCAATCAAAGAGAATCAACGTGGATTTGGAATTTGGAGTCTCAGGAAATTCTCACTGGCCTTAACATCGACGATCCACACTTCAGGGACCTTAAATTTACAACGTAGGGTACTATTCGCTTTTAAAAAAAGACGACAACAACAACAACAACAACAGCAACAACAACAACAGGCTTTAAGATGGTACCAATTAGATATCTACCCCATATGCCCAAAAATTGACGAGCGCCTGATTCCACCACGTCGTGACAAAAATGAAACATAATTTAAGCAAAGTGAAGTTGTTGTTTTTTCCCGCTTCTCCTGAAAAGCTCACTGGTAATTTGACATACGGCAGTGATGAATGATGGCCACGATTTATATTGATCGTATTTTTCTGCTGGTGCTGTTATTGCGTTAGCGGGTCGTTGGAGTACACCTCTGCTTTGTCCTACTTCTTTTCTTTTTCTCTGTTGTGTCTGTCTCTGCGAGTGGTAGCCTAGTGATTAGGCTACCGGACTCGTAATCATGAGATTGCGAGTTCGGGGGTTCGAGCCTCAGCTCGGCCCGACGTTGTGTCCTTGGGAAAGGCACTTTACACGAACTTCCCTTTTGGCTCGGTCCTATTGGAGACGGACGTTAAACTAGGAGGTCCCGCCCCTTAAATAACCTGATTGTGTTGATAGGGGCGTTAAACCCATACCATTTCACCATTTTCTGTGCGAGTAGTAGGTCCTACGTCTTTACTTTTTCTCTGTTGTGTCTGTCTGTGCGGGTGGTAGGTCCTACGTCTTTACTTTTTCTCTGTTGTGTCTGTCTGTGTGAGTGGTTGGAGGGTGTCACTGGTAGGTCCTACGTCTTTACTTTTCCTCTGTTGTGTCTGTCTGTGCGGGTGGTAGGTCCTACGTCTTTACTTTTTCTCTGTTGTGTCTGTCTGTGCGGGTGGTAGGTCCTACGTCTTTACTTTTCCTCTGTTGTGTCTGTCTGTGCGGGTGGTAGGTCCTACGTCTTTACTT